CCACCCCACCGCCACCGCCACCGCCACCGCCACCGCCACCGCCACCACTACAGCACCACCAGCACCGCCAGCACCACCAGCACCACCAGCACCAGCACCAGCAACAGCAACAGCAACAGCAACAACAACAACAACAACAACAACAACAACAAAAACAGCCACAACAACAGCAACAACCGCAACAGCGACAACGACAACAACAGCAAGTCATTATAATGAGAAGCAGCATCGTGACATTATTACTAGCAATGAAAACGATGTTGTGAATGTGACTAAGAAGACTTCGTATATCACTAATACCGGGCGATACAGTAGCAGCCGCTTTTCAACCATGACAAGGACATGGACTGGGACAAGAAGCCCTTGGGCCGGGGTTACTTCGGAGAGGTATGGTGCTGGGCCCAGATGTGCGAGCGAGGGGAAGAGAAGGAATGCAGCAAGGAGTCCAGGAGACACTGTTTCTTTACACGAACAACTTGTCGAATATCGTTCCCTGACGGCAGGGGAATCGCGAAACCTTTTGCTTGCTTGTCTTCTCCATCTCTCCGAACCGTGCTGGCTTCACAGACGTGTGCAGGCGTTTGAGTGTGTTTGTGTGTGCGCCTATGCGGATGCTTTTTCCGAAAAGCAAGCCTCTAGTCAGAAACCAGTGAGAAGCCCAAGCTTATTTGGTTCGGACCTTTAGACTGCATGCTCTTCGATTTAGCATCGCTTGACGTGGCCGCCGTTTGGCCCCAGTCCGTTTGATAAGCTTGCGTCTTCTAGCACATTAGAGTACCACTTGCAGCATGCAAGGGTCGGTCGGAGATTCTCCGGAGATGTTCTACGATTCCGCAACGACAACAACGTAGTTGTCGTCGTCGCCACCGTCGCAGTAGTCGTCGTAGAAGCAATAGCACTAGGATTAGCATTAGCAGAGCCGCAACAGCAGCAGCAGCAGCAGCGGCATCCGCAGTGGCAGCAAAGTGGAAACACTAAGAGACAAATAACAACACACTCGGCTTTACTCTAACTCAGGACTGTAAGATGACGTGTGGAACTAAGCATGTCTCGTCGCGGCCACTGGACGACGGAATCAACCAGTGCCTATCCGCCTGTTCTGGCCAGTTTATGCACGTGTATGTCCACTTTTTTTCACATAAGCCCGCGACCAGCCACTTTGTCAGTTCTTTCCATGCGTGCATCTGCAGCAAATCCAGACACCCCACACTGCTGCATGCTTCAGCCTGGAGGGTTTGTGTATCGTCTTCTCTTTCTCGCCACTTTCCAAAGCGCTTTGAACCTTCCGCTCCGAGCCCTTCTCTGTAGCAGCACGAGACGAGGCGCTGCACTCGTCCTGGCAAGGCGCACTCTCCGCTCATTTGGGCCGTCGCTTGGCGAAGCAGGGTTGCTGGTACTTGCATGCGTGGGATTCGCAGGCTCGCGTGGCTAGGTCCCATCCGTGCCGAGAATTCAGCGTTCTCCGGTTTCATGGTTCCGAATTCCTCTGCCAGTTTAGCCGTTCCTTTCCTTGGTTACTGTGGCAGTACAAAAGTAGCCGGAGACTTGTAAGTTTTCCTCGCCTGGCACAGAGCCCAGGTCAAGAAGATCCCCAAATCGCTGGTTCAGCCCCCTGGCAGCACTAGGTGCAGCGCGAGCCGGCAAACGAGCTCGGAACATTCTCCGATTCTGGATGTAATTCTACGCTACACCCTGAACTCGGCGTGTGGCAACTTGCAGCCACCGGGGGCATGTTTCAGCCCAAGACGTCCTACGAAATGTGTCAAACATTGTTGCAAAATTAAAAGTGGTACATCATAGTGACATGACGACGAATGATGAAGACGATGATGATCTTGACATGAGTTGAAGAGTCCGATGAATAAACTCATCATGAGCAAGACCATGAGAACAAACGGGTGCGATCCTGAAGCATCTACTGACAATGAACAGCAAGCTGACGGTGTGAGGGCCTTAGATGTGGGATGTGAGCCGTGTCAAAGGCTGCACAGGAGGCCACCAGCTTAGTCTTTCCAGCCTTCGGCATCTTGCCCCTACAATACCATTTTTCTCAGCAGGCAGCAGCAGGCTATGATAGGCACCTCTAGGCAAAGAGCCTGCAAGCCTCGAAGGCAGCATAGTCTCACCGAGCAGATGCAAAGAGAGTGGCTCGGCTGATCAAGGAGAATTTCTGGGTTTATTGTGTTTTCTCTTCTTTACAATCTGCTTCATGTGCCAGTAGTTGCGTCTGTGTGTGTGTGTGTGTGTCTGCGCCTGCCCGCCTGTATGTATGTATGTATGTATGTATGTATGTATGTATGTATGTATGTGTGTATGTATGTATGTATGTGTGTATGTATGTATGTATGTATAACTATATGGTCACCCCCCTCCATGATCCGCTTCCGTCTTTCTTCGGTATGTAAAACACATAGAGATCACCATCTATATATATATATATATTATGTATATGTATGTGTGTGGGTGTGTGTGTGTGTGTGTGATGTGGAGTGGTTTCTGCCGTGGCTAGAGGTTGTGCCAAAAGTGTGATATTGGACTGCAGGGGCCGGAGGGGCTGGAAGATTTCATGCAGCCGCCGAGGATAACCATCATGCGCAGCCTGAGACACCAGAACATTGTGGAACTACACTTCAGCGCCTCGGAGAAGACAGGGTTTAGGGTTTACGGTTTAGGGTTAAACGGCGACGCTGATGCTCAACGTGCTCACGGACAAGGACTCCTTTTTGGGGTGAGACGTCTGGAACACCCACCTGGAAAATGCATACATTATGCAAGGAGAACTACCTTGGAACATTGCAAGCAGCTAGCAGACACAAGCTGAAATGTTCCGTGGAGCCTAAGCCTGAGGCCCCGAACCCAGCAAGTTCTCTTGCGACTCAGGCTTTGAGGATGACAGCCACATCTTCCTCGGGATGGCCTCCAAGCTGTGTGAGCAGGTCTTACAAGTCTTACCCACATGGCAATGAGGGCAACCCTGCCAGGGGCAAGGTCCTACAGGTTAAGGGCTTAGGGCTTAGGGCCTTAGGGCTTAGGGTTGAGCTTATTGGTGTTGTAGTGCAAGGCCCGAGAGGACATGCCCCAATTTTGCCTTTGAGCCGCAAGGAATTAAGCTGTAAGAAGGTACCGGACGCTGCTGCTTGGAAACATGGGGTGGGTTTTGGCATTCATCTCCCAGATTGTTGCGATTGTGCCATTCGCGGTTTTTCTTACTATATAGTCATAGAGAGTTACAGCAGTTCTGCATAGAAGTTGGTTTCCAAGGAGTTTGCGGAAGGCGGCGGAATGTTCGACCTCCTCAGCAAGGTTGGCTTGCAGTGTAGTTTGAGACCAGTCCTTCTTCAGTCCTTCGAAAATCTGATGGATGCTTGAGACGTGCATAGAATGCGGCAGGCGATGTGCACCTTTGTGCAGACTCTTGTGCGAGCCAGGTCGGCAAATTCACCTTAGACCTGGCTGCCCAGCACTTCTATGAGGCCAACTTTCTCTGGCAAAGTCGAAAGTCAGGGGTATGACAGAGGCCTTCGCAAGTGATGAGACCGTGCCGCGCAGTTGGGGTGTGTTGTGTTGGAAGGCGAGTGGGTGATGTGTAGGGTCGGCATGCCTTGAGAAGACTTACATGTTTTGCTGAGAAAAGGAGCACTCCCTAACCGCATCTGTCTGAAGGCAGCACCTCCTCCGTCGGTGTCGGGCCGTACACCCCTCGCGTGTGAAAATCTCCATCAGATTGGTTTTCCTCTAGGCTTGCATAATTTGGATTTTGAGTTCCGTACCTGCAACTGCGAAAACCACCCACGCGTTTGCAACACAATGCTCGGAGGTGTGCGATGCACTGCACTACCTCCACAACCGTGATCCGAAGATCATCCACCGGCCCGCTCGTCTCAGTGTTTAGGGCTTCCGAGGTTGAAGTCGGCAGCACCGAGTCTTGTCATGGGAATTCCGGCTTTGAAATGTTGGTATCCGAAGTTTGGGCCCGGGTCAGGCTTCGTTTCCTCGTTTGCGGGTGCGTATTCGGGATCGCTCAGAAGACTCAAAAGTTCCGGCGTAAGTATACTGCATGATTCTGCATCGGGATCATTGCCACGAGCCCTTGCTAAATAGAGTGCCTGCAGAATCATGGAAGGCAGGCCAGAAGTGCCTGCTTAACCTAGTTCATCTGGCTCTGTAGAAAACGCAAACCCCGAAGCCATGTTCCTGGCTGCAATCACTGCAATCCCTACGCTGGGCCAGGGATATCAAGCCCGAGAACATTCTCCTCGACAAGGCGCGCAGCTCGGAGAATGGACTGACGACCGTGTTCCAAGCCCGCATAGGCCGAGAGGATGACCGGCATGAAACTCCATACCTTGACTACTTTGCCTGCAACTTCCCAACACAATTTCAAGCCTTGGCCGTGTGCAGGGCATGCACGCGAAGCTGGCGGACTTCGGCTGGTCTAATGTCATGGAGAATGTATCCTACAGGCGCAGCTGGAGAGGTTGTCGATAATAGTGTGGACGAATACATTGTCGCGGCCATCCATGTTTGAGTTAGAGGTGGGCAAAAGACATCCAACTTAAGAAAGTGTCTGACATTTGGTCGTAGGCATCCTTGACATGGCATCCGACATATACAGCCACACAAACACTAGCCCTTGATGGCATCTAGGCTTAAAATCTCGAAAACTGTAAAGCAGCCAGAACCTTCTAAACCCTAAGCCCGTGATCTCACCAGACTTTCTGGCTGGCTATACCTCGCAGACATCATGCAACCATGCAAAGAGATGCTGAACGCAGCAACATGTGAGCATATGTGTAGACCCAGCTGGGCCTGTGTTTGACGCCAATTACATGTCCCAATTTCCAGCAGATCAGGCTCAGGCAGCTCAGAACAAGACATAGCCCGTCGTTTGTTCATCTGCCCTGAGACGAGGGCAACTTTCTGCGGAACGCCCGACTACTTGGCGACGTGGGCTTCAACAGAAAATAGTCGGTTGATTCGGAGAAGAGTGTGTGGCCTAAGTCACAACCGTCCTGTGCGGGGTATTGCCGCACACGAACAAAAGAAGCCAGCCTTTCGCGGCTGAGGCTCCCGAGATGATTCTTGGAGAAGGCCTGTTCGGAAGGGTTGGGCTTCAAGAGCAGAGCGAGTTGAAAGAAGGACTGCAGCTGTGGAGTAAGATTCGGAGTTTGAGGATGAGGGTGATTTAATGATGGTGCTTATGATGAATATATTCGACGGATGGATGAGGATGGCGATGGCGATGGCGATGGCGATGCTGCCGCACGGCATCATGTCCCGCTATTGCCACGGCCCTGATACGAGCACAGTGGCTGTCTCCCAAGCACAAAGTAAGAAGAGGCAGAGTCGGAGGAGGGGGCTGGCGAGAGCGGCAAAATTAGTAGCAACGGCTGAAACATCAACCACAGTCGTTGCTAATTACCTGGCCATTTTGTTATTTCCTCACGGTTTGTGAATATTTGGCTAACCCATCTGCAACATTGCGACATGATCAATTGCGCCGTCGCAGTTTCATCATAATCCGCTTCAACATCATCTTCGTGGCCACCACCCTCATCATCATCATCAACAACCTGGTTGTCGTTGTTACTACCACCTGCTTCTACAAGCTGTGATAGAATTGCAATACCCCCAAGGCTAGCAGCAGGAAATGCACAAGTTCAGCAATGAATATGTAATCCCATTTACCTGGCTCGTCTAAGAAACTTGGGCAAGCGTTGAAGAGCAAGGAGACCAAAGCCATCCCAAACTCTGTCTCATGTGTCTCATCGTCGCGACATACACTGTCACTGCTGTGATGCCCGATGCATCACAGTTTGCTCCTGTTACACTTGGAAGGTCACAACGAAAGCTTGGACATGTGGGAGATGGGTGTACTGTTGTCACCCGGCCGTGTTGAGTGCACGGGCAGACGAGCAGCAAGAGTGAAGGGTGGACTGTAACTACATGAAGTGGCATCTTAAGTCTTCAGTCGCTGTATTCCAAAGGTATGAGATGGTGGTGGGGAGATCGCCTTTCGGCGGAACTTCACAGAACGACACCTGCAAGAACATTCTGCGTCTTGGCATCAATTTCAGATCACTGCAAGCTTGTCTTTATGCAGCGCCAGACCTACGTACTTTTGTGGATACGGCCTTTCAGACATCATGTTTCAGCCGGTCTTGACTGCATGATGACAGCGCTTCATTCAAGCCTTCATCTAGATGCTTCTAGTTCTGATCCGGGGAGGCCTCCAGCAACGAATGCCTTGTTGGTATCAGGAGAAACTTCAGGCTAAACCCACCAGCAGAGGCAAAACAAACACAAGGTGCAACAGGAATGGGCGGCCAGGTATTGAGGTTGAGAAACGACTTCCGTTACTTCCGAATTACTTATCTAGCTCCTCCGGTCGGTGCCTTGGTAGCCGCTCTTGCCTTTACATGAGTCTGCACGGATAACATGCGCTGCGCCTGCACACTTCGGTAGTAGGTCACAGGAAGGGCTTTGCGATTCTTCGGGGTAGCATGCAGAGCAATTTCAGAACACCCTGAAGCCAGCAGAGTCTTGCGTTGTGTGTGGGATTTACAGTGTTTGCATCAAGGCAGAACGGTGTGTCTCGGAGCAGAGCTTCAGCAACCAGCAAGCGTTGCAGTATCGCGAAAGCGAAACAGCTAGAACTGAAATGGAAAGACTGGCACCTTCGAAAAGTTGCCTTCGATGCCCTGTAATTATAAATAAACGCCTTACATTCGAAGACAACCAGGAGCATCAAACTTCAGTTTCCGCCGGACATCGACCATACCGTGGAGGAGCTCTGCTTCCGCTCGAGTCGCGAGTGCGTTCTTTCCAGTCTGATCTATATTTCGGGGCTTTTGGTTCGCGCTTTAGGTTTGGGGGGTCGAAACTTGGGGAGTTTTGCAAGGAGCTTCGCAGCTTTCGCCTCCAGTCGCAATTCAGAGGGCTTCTTCACATCTTACACTACTCCTTGCGGGTTGTTTCTCGCCTTTGTTTTGACTGGGCCGAGAAGATCTGAAGCTCATGGCGCCAAGCTTTTGCCCGCGCGTGCTGCACGACTCCCTGTGGTGCAGCGCCAGCATGATTCCCGGTTCGCAAAGTGGGCTACGGTGGCCACGGCCACTAGGCAATCAAGTGCCACATCAGTAGCCGGGCTGGGTACAGTTTCCTACAGCGAGGCGAAGCAAACTGAAAAAGATTGCGCAAAGCCCTTAAGCCACATAAATCGTCGTGAGGTGCAGAAAGCCGTATTCCAGTGGCAATGTATTGGACTTGTACGGTTGTCGGTCGTCCTTGGGCTTGCTTTGCCATTCGTGGCAGCTCTGGCCTCACGTACCAGAACTATGTGAGTTCCGGGTGTACCGGAGACAGCTTCTGTCTTTGCTTGCATCTAATTCGTCCCTACCCGTGTAAACTCCACGAACTCTGCCCGAGAGCGAAAGAGAGCGAGACAGATAGAGAGAGGCAGAGAGAGACAGAGACAGAGATCCAGGACTGCATCAAGAGCTTGTGCAAGAAGGCGCCCGAGGACGGGATCCAGTCGCGGAGCATTCAAAGGCTGTTCAGGCTGCAGGTCAGGTTTACGTTTATGTTCAGTTGATACAGTCGTGGTTGCAGTTATCGTTGCTGCAAGTGTTGGTGCTGTTGCTACTCTCCATGTTGTCGGAAAAGATCCTGACTTCCCAACTCCTAAACTCAGAGGTAGATGTATAGTTTGCGATTCGTTTGCCATTGAACGCCCTGACAGAAACGCCTGACAGCTGCTCAAGCTATGCAGCATGCCTTCGTTCGCCAGCTTCTTGATGGCATTCTCATCAGGTTTCAAGGGGTCCAGCCATCAAGCAAAAGAAGGGTTAATTTGTCTTCTTGCAACATGTCTCCACGTGGCCTCCAGTATATATGCACGGTTCGTGTAATGCAAAATCCAGCAGGCATGGGCAGGAACAGCGCCGAAGATTCGAGAAAACTTGTTGGTGCGATGATAGACTGCATATTGACAACAGCAGCTGCAGACCTTTGGGACAGGCTGTGCTGCTTCTGAGTCAGTTCGACACTGATGCCTGATAGTACCGCTCGATTGATCACTACTAGGCCTAGTATGCTGGCTGCGGCTGCTGCTACCACGGGGAGTAGTATCACCCTACGTCTGGTCCTACCACTGCTACAGCTTTTCCTGCTGCCTCTGTCCCTACTATTAATAATATTACTAGTGTCAACCACCACCGCCACGACGACGACGACTACTACTGCTACTACCACTGCTGCTGCTACTTCTACTCTAACTGCGAGTACTACTATCACCACCACTACTATGCGACTACTGCCACTACCACTTTGCTTCCACCACTACTGCCAACAAAACCAACACGACCACGATGACGACCACCACCACCACCACCAGCACCACGGCTGCTACTACTACTACTACTACTACTACTACCGCTACTACTAGTGCTACCACCGCTGCCGCCGTTGCTGCTGCTGCTTCTACTGCGGCTTTTGCTTGCTCCTGCCGCTGCTACTTCTACTCTAACTGCGAGTACTACTATCACCACCACTACTGCCACTACCACTTTGCTTCCACCACTACTGCCAACAAAACCAACACGACCACGATGACCACCACCACCACCACCAGCACCACGGCTGCTACTACTACTACTACTACTACTACTACCACTACCACTACCACTACTACTACTACTACTACTACTACTACTACTACTACTACTACTACTAACTACTACTACCGCTACTACTAGTGCTACCACTGCTGCTGCCGCTGCTGCTACTGCTTCTACTGCAGCTTTTGCTTGCTCCTGCTGCTGCTAATTCTACTCTAACTGCGAGTACTACTATCACCACCACTACTACTGCGACTACTGCCACGACCACTTTGCTTCCACCACTACTGCCACCAAAACCAACACGACCACGATGACCACCACCACCACCACCACCACCACGCTTGCTACTACTACAGCGGCTACTGCTACTGCTACTGCTACTGCTACTACTACTACTACTACTACTACTACTACTACTCCTGCTACTACTACTACTACTACTACTACTACTACTACTACTGCTACGATCACGACTGCGACGACTACTGTTACTACTATTAATGCTGCTGCTGCTGCTGCTGCTGTCAGCAGTGGTAGCAGTAGTCAGTAGTCGTCGTCGTCATCGTCGTCGTCATCGTCGTTGTCGTAGAAGTAGGCCTTCTCGTGTGGAAGACACCTAACGTTCTTCTCATTGTCTCCACTTTTAACAACACAGAGGTGGATTGGCTGATGTGGTTTGCGGACATGCAGTAGTCATGAAGGCTTCGAATTCCCAGCTGATGCAGGATTTGAGTCTGGGTTCAAAAACTACGACGAATGCCAAAAGACTCTGCTACGATTCCTTGAAATTGTGTGTCACGATTCCAAGGGTATGTATTCGACAACTGGTGCCAGACGGAATCAAAATCTGTATGCAGATGCTGGTAGGAAACGTCACCCCATTGCTTCGGCACGCGGAGGAGGAATGCTAAGCCAGTGTAAACTTCCCTCTACGCAAGAGCGAAGGTTTTTTTGGCATATCGGCCGCTGCCATCAGGTTCTTTCAGCCTGCGGCGTCCGCAGCCTCTGGAAAGAAGGAGCTGGCCCAGGTAGTCGAAACTAAACAGGGATTAACGTCGAATCTCTTGCAGGCCTTGCCAGGCTTGTCCGAGTGTGAGTGTCAAAACAACAGGCGTTGACAGGTTGACAGTTCTGATATGCGACGGCGTTGACTCCAAATTAAATTTGCGTATGTCTATACGCACACATATGTATATATATATATATATAGTCTATACATATAGAGAGGTATAGGTACCTGCTCATGTGTACGCATTCGTTGAACGTCACGAATATTCCCGAAAGCATGCAGTGTATGAACGCTTCATGAGGCTATGCAACAGCATGGTTCTCATTCGCTTATGCACTCGTTCGTCTCATCTTGAAAATGCTGTTGTAGACTCGTGAGTAATTAGCACCACGCGGTATATACAGAAGCTTGCGACGATGTCCAAGTACTAGTTGCCAATTAGAATTTTAAAACTACTGGCTGCATGCAACTAGAGGTATAGGAGTACACCCGCACACACATGCGTGCTGCTTGGTTGGTTTTTTCGTGTTTCACATCCATTGTTGGAATTTGGGCGGCACACTTGTTGAGCATGGTTCCATAGTGGGGTAGATGCCACCACTGTGTACCGCCGTGTTTATAATGCGCCATGCTGCGATACCATGTATTGGTCCACCAAGTTGGTCTGCACCTCTATTGTCCTTCCTGAAGATCGTGTTGAAAAGGTGTCACATGATGTCTCTTTGCTGATGTGCTATGACTTCAGCCTGGTCCCGCAGACTTGCGGCTATCCATGGGGCGCCAGCCCTTACAAAATCATGATCACCCTAGGCCCTTAGCAAGAAAACCCTGAATCCTTACAGTTCGAGATGTGCGAGTCTAAAGTCTAAACACTGAGCCCTAAAATCCTAAGCCTTAAAGCCTGTTCCCGGTACTCCGGACACATTTTCAGGCGGACAGAAAAGAGGTGATATACCAAAAAGCCTGTTCCCGAACAAGCATCCCGATAAGCCCTAAACCCTAAACCCATAACCCATAAACCTGAAACCCAAGCCCCTTCCTAGCGACGTCAGAAGTCACGTGGCGAGGAGCTGCAGGAAGACGCGGGCCGGCCCTCCGTGGAGGTAGTGAGACGAAGTCAAGTGTTCCGGCGTCGGTTCTGTCAGGTTAGGGCTCGGGGTACAGGCTTGAGGAAGGTATGCTTTGAAACTTTGAGGTGAACTGTGGGGTTCAGTCGGTCCAGGGGCCTCAGACTTGGATGGAGTGGCGATCGCATATCTATAGATGTTTATTGCGGGTTCCGAATGGCCTACCATGGCTTGCAGCAGCTACCGAAAGTGAAAGGTGTATCAATCACTAGTCAGAAGTGGCCGCAATTCCAAGCACCGAACCAGCGAAGCCAGCTGGAGCAAGAAGTTACAGCGTAAAGGTAAGAAGAGATAGGAATCCAGCAACAACTTTGCGGTGCATGTTTTCTCTTCCACCCTGAAAGATGTCACTTTTGCGTAGTTGCAGTTAGAGGTCGTAAAACAGTCACGATAAGCTGTCCAGGCAGGTTTTGTCAAATGCAGGTTTCCGGAGTTCATGCTTGCAAAGCAGGTGGCAGCTTCAGAAGCAAAAGGCTGCTGCTAGTTGAAAATCGAAGCCAGATAGCCTATGTCCGATCACGACAAGGCCATGATGAGGATGCGGCTACCGAGCATACATTCGTGCACCATATCGCCCCTGACGTGTGCATATATGTATGTATGCTGTATGTATGCATGCATGCATGCATGCATACATGCACGCATGCAAGCATGATGTATGTATGTGTGTATGTCTGTCTGTAGGTACGTAAGTACGTATGTAGCTTTGCATTCATGCATGCATACATGCCTGTATGCGTATATGTATGTATATATATATATACGTACATACATACATACATAAATCTACATGTACATATGCGTATGCAAAATTACATATACGCACACACACATACATACATACATACATACATACATACATACATACATACATACATACATACATACATATCATACATACATGCATAAAACACACGAAATACAAATACTATTGTATCCTAATTGAGTACCCTCTTTCTCTATCTATCCGCCCCTGTCCATTTCAAAGAGCCGGCCCAAGCTACAGAGAGAGTACGGCAGTTTCGGGCTGCTTGTACCGGCCAGGCACGACACCTGGCGCGTGAAAATGAGATTCTCGAAAACGATCCCCGTCAGAACAGCTTCGGAGATGCATGTTGGACTTACATTGGCATGTCGTGAGAAGGCAACTAGAATGTTCGATGTGTGCAGGCTTACACATGCAGCTGAGCATTCTGTTTCGGGCTCGCCCCATACTGCGTTAAGTCAAGTCTGTTTCTGGGATGTATCCCTGGAAGGTTTCATGCCGTTCAGTGTTTCTGTTTGGGGTCCCTAGCTTTTGCGTTGTAGTTAGCTGGTTGTTGTTGGATCTAGGTTTCGGCTTTCAACAGAACATCACTTTTGGCTCCCCGAACGTACTTGCATTCAGCTGGAGAAGCAGTGCACATGCATGTGCATGTGCGTAGGTGCGCATGTGCTTCGGTAGTACATGTCGGATGCACATACACACAGTCTTATCGAGCCACTTCGCTGCAGCAATCTTCATGTTTGCATACGTAGTTTTTACAAGCCACAACAGTAGTTGAGCCGCAGTGCTTCACAGCAAGGCAGACGGCTTACACAACTCTGGTACCGCGCGCGTGTCTCTGTGTTGGCAAGGGCTGCAGCCGGCCAAAGGGAAGCCTACCCATAGGCCCCATGGTAGTTCCTTTTGGGGGTTCATAAATAGAATAGTTTTAGGTAACCCCAAAAGGAACTACTATGGGGCCTATGGGTAGTGTGAGACCGACACTCGCTGTCTACAGCAGCTGAAAGTGAGGCATCCGAAGCTCTATCTTCCCGTTGAGACTGTGCTAGACTGCTAGACTGCTAGTGATTGACTTGGCGCAAAAGCTTAAGGTCTCGTAGCTCGGCGAGGCTAGCAGGTTGAGGAAGACACTCCACTCAGTGACTCAGGAGAAGATGGAGCTGGTTGTCGCCAAAGCCCGGCTGGTGGGTTGCTCAGCGGTCTGCAGCTTTCGGTTCAGATCCTGCATCCAAAGACATCCAAAGGGTGGGTCAGTCAGAAACTTTAATCTACGCAGCCATTGCAGACAATGCCCCGACACCAATCACACTCATACATGCTTCGCTACCACTCCGTCTTGTGATCGAAGGGGTTGTGCTCAAGAAGCTGTTTTGACACACACACACACACACCCACACACACACACACACACACATATATATATATATATATATGCAGATCATATTTATGAAATTCTTTTTCAGTTGTTTATCATACAACGAGCCAGAAAGAGCAGTCCGCTCATTGTTCAATTTTCATTCGCCCGACTTTACCCGGGGTCCAACGAAACTTAGACACGCTTAGTTCAGTCGCAGGAGACCGACCTGTTCAATCTGACAGTCGAGCTCGAGGACTGCAGAGGATGCATTAAAAGTCAGTTCTTTCTCTGTTCATCTGGACACATTTTTGGCCGCGGGGACAGCAAGCAACTGTCTTTCAGCGTCATACTCCCGATCTCTGCATCGCCATTTTCTGCACTTTGCTCGAAGACTGTGCCTCGAGGATCGTGTGGCTGAGCTCCATAAGGAGCAGTCGTCGCTGCGAAAGGCAACGGGTGTGAGCCGGCGGTAAGTCTGTGGAAAAGATGTACTACTGCATAGTTGCTGCCCTTCTATTAGTCACCGAGGCCTGGTTCATACCGGGCGAAGATCCTAAACCCTTGAGAGCAAGGTTTAATTCCCGAACGGAGCGGTAGTGGGCGGACTGCGAACCATGAGCCTCATCAAGAGCTGGGCGACCATGGCACCGCAGGTGCAGGAAGAGCTTCGAGAGCTGCAGGAAATGGAGGAGTTCCTGGACGGCATTAGCTTTCTGCTTCACGGGCTTCGGGATTCACTAAGGTTGGGATGGCTATAGTTGCCCCACTGTTGTAGTCTGGGGTAGCGCTGTAGCTCCACTCAACAGCACAGTCGTCCTGGCATGCTGTATTGCCACCAACGAAATCTAAGGAAGCAGAAGGAGGACGGCGACTTCGTAAAATCACCCAACTGCATCTACTGGGACAGCTGAATCGGTCACTTCTCGGGATCGTCGCGGTATCAGGCAGGTGGCGACAGGTTTGCGAAGATCAACACAGAAGAACCTGTACTTGGCTACAAAGTCCCATCTGGGTAATTACCTTGCAGTCGTTTCCGGGATTTGGCACAAGGAGCTCGGCGAAGCGGAGCCGTCGATCCGCCCATTGTGAGCTCCAGGCAACCAGACCATTCAAGACATGGCTGGGCCCTGAAAGGGTCCCACTCTGCTGCGGGAGACCCGCAACAAGGAAGTCTGTGGTTTGGTGTCGGTATCCCAAATGCCCAGCTCAGGGGACTTGCGACTTGGAAGCGATAGCCCTTAAGGATGCTGCCCTTTTAAGCGACATTCAAGTCCGAAGTCACTTAGTCTTGCAATGTCGCGCTCTCTAGAGCCTCCTGACCCAAGCGCATGTCGAAGCCTGTTCGGGGCTGACGCTCAAACCACAGATCAAGCGCCACACTAGAGCCCCGCTTTGCGTGATGCTTCTCGGGATAGCTGCGATTTTTTTAACCTTAAACTCTGAACCCTACTGTTGCTATTGAACTGCTGACCACCCCCAACCCAAGTGCACCAATCGGCCCCGCTTCGCTTCGTCGAAGTGCTGCGGCTGTGTTTGGATGGTTTTCTCGATTGGAAGGTTGGTTTCCGAATCCTTTCCTCTCGGGCTGCGGATGTGGATAATCAGCTACAATGAGAAGCAGTAGCATGCCAATGGGTGGTTGTCAAAATTATGGTCCCTTTTTGGGTCCTTATTATAATACGGCACCTATTATTTAGGTACCCCAAAAGGGACCCTAATTTTGACAACTACCCCAATGGATGTGGAACTTTGGGTGTTGGTTATCTGCATGATGTGCAACCATGCCCATGAACTATCTTCACGATCAAAGGGCCGAAGAGGTTCCGGAGTGGAGTTCCGCCCACAATGTGTGATTCGGAGACCCCACGTCTGATCCCAGCATTTCCTGCTGTGACTGTAGTGACGGGCTTGCAGAAAATATAGGGGCCTGAAAATACCAGCATATGTCCTAAGGGCTCCTCCATCTAGCCATAGTATCATAAACCTTTACGCCATATTCTGATTATTGAGGCCCCTATGTTTATCTAGTCATAGTATAATAAACCTTTACGCGATATTCTGATTGTTGAGGCCCCTATGTTTATCTAGTCATAGTATAATAAACCTTTACGCCATATTCTGATTGTTGAGGCCCTTGTGTTAGCCCCGAGCTGGCTTGACCTTCTGTGGACAATGACTGCCACAGCCGAAGTCAGCCACAGAGCGTCCGACAGTCGACCAACTGCTTCTTGGGCAGAAACAGAAGGGGCAGCGGAACAGCATAGAAGAGTCGGAACACGTACTTCGCAAAGCACCCCTGGTATCCATTCTAACTAGGTCGGTCCCCATATATATATATATATAAAGATATATATATATATATATATATATCTATATATATATATATATATGTATCCCTCTCTCTCTCATGCCCGGCGACTCGCTTTGCTTCTTCTAAGCGGCTGGGTGCTCTAAGGCTCGGCAAGCAGGCAAATCGACAGCGATAAGCTGTGCAGATCGTGCCGTCGCGGCGTTGGCCTAAACCCTAAACCCTAAACCAGCGGTTAGTTTGCAAGCAGGGTTTGCCTGCCTTGCCTTGCCTTGCCTTGCCTTGCCTTGCCTTGCCTTGCCTTGCCTTGCCTTGCCTTGCCTTGCCTTGCTTGGCTTGCTTGGCTTGCTTACTGGCTTGCCGCATGCCTACTGGCTTGCTTGCCTGGTTTGCTTGCTCTGCTTGCTCTGCTTGCTCGCTGTGGCTGTGGCTTGGGTTGGGTTGGTGGTTGGGTGGGTGGGCGTGTGTGGGCGGGCGGGCGGGCGGGCGGGTGGATGGGTGGGTGTGGGTGGGCGCTTTTGGTGGCAGTGATGGTGTTACGTCCTCTGCGACTGTTATGTCTTGTCCCTACCTCTTGTTCTTGGACGTTGACGCTGCTTTGTCGCAATTGCATGTATTTGGTTTATTATTGTTGCGGTGGTGGTGTTGCAGGCAACTCGTCTCGCTTTCTTTCGTTTTGGTCCTCCAGCGCGATTTTGTCGATGCTGGGGCACACAGGGCTGGCATGGTCAGTTTTGACCCAAATCATGTGCCACAGGTTCGAGGCTGAAAGGATGGAATACTCTCCTAACGTGGTGGTGCAACAGATCTTTAAACATGCATGTGCCAGTACTTAACTTCATTCGGTACTGGATACTTGGTTTTTCGGCCGTACCGGGTAAAGCTGGGCAAGCCATGGTGGCGATCGTGGAAGACGTTGACGAAGATGTTTGTGCCGAAGTTGAGGCCTGTCATTGCTTGTCGCTGCAACGGTTCTGGCTAGCTCCAGGATTGTATTCGCATAGCGCGTATTCTGCGGTAAGCATACAGTGGTGAGGGAATGGGACGGAACCGAGACGCTTGCAGAGGCAGCCCAGCAAATCGCGGAAGATACTCCCACACACCCACACACACACAAACACAAACATGTTGCGTTTATATATATATATATATACACACGTATGTATGTAGGAATGAGTCAATGAATGAAAGAAATGAAATGAAATAAAACTGAATGAATCAATGAATGAATGATTGAGGACACGAAGGAATTAATGAATGAAATAATGAATGAACCAATGAATGAATGAACGAACGACTGAATGAATTAATGACTGGACTGTATGGAATGAATGAACGAACGGAACCAATGACTGAATCAATGAGTGAATTATTGACTGAGTTATATGAATGAAAGAATGAATGAATAAAAGAATGAATGCATGAATGAATGAATGAAATTAAATGAAATGAAATGGAATGAGATGAAATCAATGAAATGAAATGAAATAGCCTGCAACGGAATGAAATGGAATGAATGAATGGAATGAATGAATGAAGGAATGACTGAATGAATGAATGAATGAATGAATGAATGAATGAATGAATGAACGAGCCACTGAATGAATGAATGGAATGAATGAAATGGATGAATGAATGCATGAAATGAAATGAATGAAATATATAAAAAAAAAGAAAGAATGATCGGATGGATGAGTGGATGAATTTAATGAATAAGTGACATGAACTGAATTCATGGAACGGACTGGAATGGACTGAACTGAATCGCAACGAAATGACATGCGATGAAAGAACGGAATGAACAAATGATTGAATGAAAGAAAGGAGGTATGTATGCATGCATGCATGCATGCATGCATGCATATGTGTATGTATGAATGTGTATGCATGTAGCTGCACGTGAGTCTGTATGTATGCATTTATATACATACACACATACGCACATACGCACATACGCACATACATACATACATACATACATACATACATACATACAAATATGTATGTATAGTATTCGCTGTTGTATAAAAGCTTGGATATTTATATACAAACGTAAGTGTGCCCATACATACATGATCATACATGTGTATACATGCGAGTGTCTGTGGGGGTCCATTTGGCCTCAACCCTTGATTAGACATTTAAAAGGGTGGTTCTCCAGCCAGCTGCGAATTCAAGAAACAGTTGACTTAGTTTATCAGTTCCTGATCCCAGGGCCTCAGCCCGAACACTGAAACAGTTAGTTCAATTAGTTCTCTCGTTGTTTGCTTTTTGTTATTTCAACTGGCTTGGGTCACTGACAGGTGGCCCGGATTTAATGCGTCCATGTGTGTTAGCTCCTGGGCTTAGGCCAGATTCCAAAGAACTAGTAAAGCTCATGTATGTATGTGTATGCCCTTCGATCTGTCTATCTGGTTATCTATCTACCTACCCAATATCTACGTCTGTATCTATGTCTGTATCTTTATCCATGTCTGTATCTACATCTATATCAATGTCTACAGCTGAAATGTTTGTTTTACTACTTATATGGACATGCAGCACATGCCATGCTTTCAAACCTGCGTACCTCCCTCTTTGCATGGATGCATGCATACAGGCATACACACATACTCAATTGGCAGTTGGAAAGGCCCATACATGCATACTTGGCGTGTGTATGCATTTACTTATTGATGTGTGTTTGTCTGTCTGCCTGCCTGCCTGCCTGCCTGCCTGCCTGCCTGCCTGCCTGCCTGCCTGTCTGTCTGTCTGCTGTCTGCCTGTCAGTGTGTGTACGTATGGGTGGATGTATGGATCTACCCATGCATGCCCGCATGTATGCACGAATGTATGTATGCTTATATACGCACATGCACATGTGCATCTTTTATTTATTTATTTATATATATACATATATATGCAGTGCGACGCTTTCTGTACATATATATACATACATATATATATATATATATATATCGATAGTGTTTTTGATCTGCTTGCTTACATGTATGTGTAGCTTGCACCTGCATGTGTCGAAGTACTTGTATATGGGCACAAACAAAAAATATTCCACCGCTTCTTGATAACATTGAACTCCGCCCTGGAGCCGCTGATTCGATTCCCCTGCCATGTCCTCAACAGACATGATGCCCGAAAGTGCTATGGAACCCCCCGCTCCTGAAATTGAACCTGGAGCTGCTGAAAACCCAAGCCAAAGCACAGAAGCATGCAGGCAGGTCTGATTGTCGTGTGGTGCATCCTTGACTCGAGGTGACAGGTTCGTCAACAGGTGCTGCTAAGTGCCAGCCTTTGACAGCATCATTTTGCGGATGACAGGCTTGTTTGCTTCTGACTGTTTTGGCAGATCTTGTCCTGCACAGCTGCAGCTGTGAGACAAAGTTCGAAAACTGAACCAAGGGCAAACGTTTGCATTGACGATGATGTAGATGAGGACTGCTGCACGGGCAGGGCTCAGCAAACCGGATTCTCGTGGTTTCTGTGTAACACGCAGGTGTATAAATGCTATTGTGTCGCCGGGCTAGCTGCATCTTTTGACCACGAGGTGTTTCGGCACCGCGACAGTAGACAGTAGGCTTCCCAGTTGCAGGACGTGTGCATCCAGCCGTCCAGCACCAACAATACTCGAGCTTCGAAACGCCGCAAAGGCACTCGTTGCCAAGCTGGCGTAGAGGTCTGGACGGTTAGTGCTCATATCCCTTCATAGTCCGCTTTGTAGGATACTGACAATAAAGTCCTTTAGGATTTGAAGGTGTTGGCAAGTGTAGGCTTCGAGATGTAGCATGTGGGGTCTAAGGCCTACGAACCAGGAATGTGCAATATGGGTATGTGAACTCTGTAAGGAGAGTCGAATCAATTTGCTGCAGCATTTATGCTGCCACAGCGTTTCGTAAGCGAAGTTGGGGTGTTTTGCTGCTGCAGTGGTTCTCGCCTCCAAGCTGGAGCATCGCAACGTGCAATACCACAATTCCCAGGCATATTCTGGGCTCTGGGGTTGTCGTTAAAACCTGAGGCTGCTCTGCAAGGTCTGGGGCTACGGGCCATTCAGGACTTGAGGCTGCGGGGCTGAATCCTTGCAGTGACTGTCACCGAAGGCGCCGCTGTGACGCTTGTGGAGTCCGATTCTGACAGCTCCAGCTCAGGCTGGATCGAAGCTTCCTGGACATCGTAGTCCTTGCCCCAAAACGGAAGCTGAACTATTAGTACGATAAGCCATTCCGTACATTTCACGATCCGGAACTTCATAAAATACGTGCCAACTCAAGTGCCTGAAATTGAACGCGGGAACGCTAGTTTCGACGCAAGTTCCTTGGATTTCGGATTGTTGGGACTCAAGGATGTTTTCAGATGTTCCACCCGATGTTGTAGACGTGAAACAAGAGCCGAGTTTTTGCCACTGGAGCTTCAGATGCCTGGCGCAAGTCGGTATTCAACCTATGAGATTCCTGTTGAGAAATGTTGCGATTACTAGCATGTGTACACACACATATATGTACATACATATGTATATATATATATATGTTTATATATTTATACTTATTTATTTATTTATCTATATTGTACACACAGATAGATAGATGGATGGATAGATAGATAGACAGATAGGTATATAGATAGGTAGGTAGATAGATAGGCAGATAGCTAGGTAGATAGATAGGTAGATAGGTAGGTAGATAGATAGATAGATAGATAGGCAGATAGATAGGCAGATAGATAGGTAGATAGATAGGTAGATAGGGGGGTAGGTGGGTAGGTGGGTACGTGGGTGGGTGGGCTGGGTCGGTGGGACAGTGGGACGGTGGGTCGGTGGGTAAGTGAGGTGAGTGGGTAAGGTGGGTAGGCGGGTAGGTGGGTGGGTAGGTGGGTAGGTGGGTAGGTGGGCAGGTAGGTAGGTAGGTAGGTAGGTAGGTAGGTAGGTAGGTAGGTAGGTAGGTAGGTCGGTAGGTAGGTAGGTAGGTAGGTAGGTAGGTAGGGAGGTGGATATAGATAAAGTTTTTCGATACAGACACAGACGTACACAGATGTCAATGCAGATATAGATATACATATAGATTCAGATAGATGGAGATAGATAGAACATAGATAGAGAGACAGCTTACTACAATACGTCCCCTGCTTCAGTTTCATCTCGCAGCCGGACTCTGAAGCGTCGGGGTGGTGCGGCGGCGGCTGCTGCACTGCTGTCGCAGTCAGCCCCGGTGGATGTGGACGAGGCAGATTAGGGTCTTCCTTGCGCGTCAGGCACAGCGCTCTAAAAGCTGAGATCAGCGTTTGCGGTTTGTAGTGTCGCTGAAGTGCTAGATCCGGGACGACTCGTAGTCACCTATTAGGGTGCATGCTTGTTTGCCCTTCTCTCCCAGCCATGATGCCACACCGCCGATATCCAGCGAGGTGCATAGCGGTTTTTAGAGAGGCAGGTCAGTTTGTTGTTGGTGTTGTGTGTACCGAGCGAGGGGTCAAGAAACATGGCAGCTCGATGTCGAGAGACGAAGCTGAAGCATTTCCGCTTGGTGCCTCAAATTGTATTCTGGTTCCTGTGGTAAGTAAAGGTGAATCAAGCAGTGCACTAGATAGGTGTCGCACAGCAGATTCGCATAGCAGCGGCTGAGCTTTTGCACGTTTGCAATGCTGCGAACCTGCATGTGCCGTTTCTGTTTGTGCCATCGCCAGGCTTCCCGGCTTGTATCGCGCTCGCTTTCACTCCCGACTCTCGGAGCAGTAGCTGCGGAGGTGATAGTTCGTATTTTGAAAGCGGGTCCTTTATGGTGTGTGTATCTGTGCCGATATACAGGTATTCCAAAGTGTTTGTGCTTGCACATTTGTGATGCTCGTTGTGGTGTTCGAGTTGGACAGACCACAAGCCTTAACGCTGCCAGGTTTGGAAACTTTGCTCGTTGTAGCGGTGTTTTTGCATGGAAAAGCGAGGGCATTCCAGTCTCAAGAAGGCGAAGCAGGCAGAGATGGAGAGAGAGACAGAGTGAGAGAGAGAGAGAAAGACAGAGAGAGAGAGAGAGAGTGAGAGAGAGAGAGAGAGCAAAAGGGTTCTGAGGCAAGGGCAGGGCACTGGCGCACTGAAGTAAACTCGTCGACGAAGATGCAGAGGAACGAGAGACTGAGTGAGAGAGAGTGGAAGAGGCACAAGGGAGGTGACAAAGATCTAGATCTGGAGTGCCAAAGCGGGTGGATGATGTTGCCAAGTGCGCGCTAAAAGAAAGTCGGCGCGCTTTGCTTGTGCTTCAAGTCACTGCTGGTAGATGGCAAGTCCGAGCGTGAACCTTGGTCTGTTTAAAATTCGAAATGGGGGAGAAGGTTATCCATGCCGTACAGCAAAAGAAGACAGACAGAAACTCGCAGGCACGGACACGGTGTGAATTCGAAAGCCTTCGGTACGGTGTGCAGAGCACGGGTGGCCAGCGACATAGCATAGTCACAATAGTCCAAAGGACAAGCTTTGCCGGACCCTTGCAGCACGAGGGTGGCCTCGTGGCTGTCATGGCTGCACCTCAGCCAAGCTTAGAACTGTCCTTAGCCTTTCTTGTTCAAGCGGTGCTACTGTAGCTAGCTGCTAGCATGGTTGCCACAGGGATTTTTCCATTTCCATAGATTAGTATTGAGGTTTTTCATGTTCCACTTGGATTACCAGCTGAAAAATGCCGAACTCGTGCCTCAAATCACCATGGGCATGTTTTACAGGTTGTTTCGTATCAATCGACTCTTCCCAGATGTGGTATAAAGCCTGGAAGCCTTTCTGAGCTGCTGTGACGTTTTCCCATGTGTCGAGCACGTGACTGTCGTCGAACATGCAGGGTGTCATTCCGACTTGCATTATGATGATCGGGACATGGCCATGTAACCCTGATCGTCTCGTGGGGTTGCCTGAGGAATCTGGTGCCAACATCAGTGTGCAGCAGGGGGCGACCCCGACAGACACGGCCGTCTGTGTGGAAGGCCGGGAGTATGAAGCCTGCATGATGGCTTCAGAACATAGTCTTCAGTGACTCGAAGCTCAGACATGAGCGACAGTCCAGGGTAGGCAGCGTTGCTATGAATCGTGCCTTCGTGCAGGTACCAGCGAAGCCGTTGGCAAAGCTACCGTGCAGATCCAGCAGATGTTTGACGACTTCACGGAGGCCGATTTGGCGACAACTGAGCGGCGAGCCTGCTCCGATCTGTAGCCTAGAGCAGACACCCTCAACCCCAGAGCAATACTAGCATAGGGTCGGTGATGTGGGCAGAAAATTGTTACAAGCCCGCCTTACCCCAAACCTTACCGTCCGCTGGTGGAATGCAACTGTTGTATACCATCACATGGGCCTAGCTTGGGAATGCCGAATTGGAGTTCGACCTCCTCAGCCAACTGAACATGATGAGATTTGCGAACGAAGCTACAAGTGCATGCTGTCGTCGTGCAGGACCCGCTAGTGAGCACGTTGGCTGATTATTGAAGCCCGCATAAGTCCGAGCATCAGTTGTTGGCAGATGAGGCAGGCGAGTGCTACTGAGAGCAGTTAGGGTCCCGAAGCCAGAGGGTGGCGAATGAAAAGGCTGAGAAGAAGGCAAAACTGCTGGCTGACAGCGAGCACATGGAGCTGCGGCCGCAGTCAGACATGGGTGGCATAGTCTAGCAGAGAGTTGGGCAGCCAGTCGAGAAGGAAGCGTCTTAGAGCTGGCAGAAGCTGTAGCACATCATTTTCCCTGGTGTGCTTTCTTTCAAGGGAAAGCTTTGGGCAGGGTCGAGGGTCCCTTGATGTGCAACGGCAACGAAGGATCAAGTGGAAATCCCGCAGAAGGTCCTGAGCGCCGCGGTCGGCCCCAACGGTTCGGACTTGCCAAAGGTGCCCCCGTCTCAATCGCAGTATAACGGATATATATATATATATATATATACAGTTATCTATTTGTGCATGTTCTCATGTATGGATTTGTTGTTGACTTATTCATGTGCTTATTTATATCTATATTATCTATAAACGAATATACACATGCATCTACATATATATATATATATATGTATGTATGTATGTATGTATGTATGTATGTATGTATGTATGTATGTATGTATGTATGTATATGATGGCAGTGATGGAGGTGGTCATCAAGGTGATGTTGTTGTTGGGGGCGGGGTGGGGTTGCGAGTCATGGTGCTGCCACGGCAGCGACGATGAACTCGACGATGGTGTTAGTGCGCCCACCATCTTAAAAGGAGCTGGTGCTGGCTATGACCACGGCAGTGTTGATATTTGTGCTCACGGTGGCCAAGTTTCCTGTAGATATCTTGGGTGTTTCGACGTCTCATGGATACAAACTGCCATTATTTCGATAGTGCCTCCTTCATCCTCCTTCGCCATTGAACTTTGAGGTTGCAGGGAAATTTGGACATACCATGCACGATACAGCTCCTGACCTCTGCCAGCGAAATAGTCTTCCGCTGAGGTGCGCGAGCGCTGCGGTGGCGTCATGATCGCGCCACGCGGACTCAAATTGAGCCCGACACGACAGAAACTTTGCAACCCGAAAGATGCAAAATGGAGCCGAATACTTTCTCTGCAAACAGCTATGAACTGATCTCAGGGGAGGGCAGTCCGGCTTCCGAGGCTCATGCCGCCTTCCGAGGGTGGCCACCTTACCGCCTTCATTGGACCTGGGACGGCGGAGCAGGCCGCTTTCATTAGGAGGCTTGAGATCAGTCCGTAGAGGCGTGGCTCGCTTCCGGGTACACTGCGGCTCTTTGGGAAGTCATGAGCTAAGGCTGCCTTTCAGTCGAAGCTCGGGACAAATTTTTGCACTGTTGCATTCCATTGTTGCGCGTTGCAACAGATTTTGGCTGGGTCCCGGACTGCAGTACTGGCTCGTAGCCCGCGGGGGTTGTTGCCTCTGATGCTTTGAAGTCCAAGGCCTAGGGCCTACACTTGCTTACATAGTCTGACTGTTGATAGACTGGTGATGGTGATAGAGTCTGATAGAGTGGTAGTCGATCAACAACAGAAGTAACGACAGTGATAGGCACGGGCCCAACCTCTGCTTCCACGAACACGAGTGAAATGAACAATCGCAAAGGATTAGGATACCAGAAACCACAGGTCAAGCAAGCAAAGGAAGAACTCCTCGGCCGCGTGCAGCGTGCCGAGGCTGGAGAGGTGGGCCCGCTGCATGAAAATCCTACCTGTACACCAAAGAGTTCATGTGTTGGTTTACTGAACCTGCTATTGTTGCTACTCGTGATCAGTAGTATGATAGTTATCGGAAGTCGTAGAAGTAGAACAATAGCAGTAGCAGTAGGACTAGGAGTGGGGGTTGGAGGAGTAGCAAAGTAGTGGCAGTAGCGGTAGCAGTAGCGATAGCGGTAGCAGTAGCTGTAGCGGTAGCAGTAGCGGTAGCAGTAGCAGTAGCAGTAGCAGCAGTAGTAGCAGTACTAGTCGCAGTAGTAGTAGCACTGGTACTAGTACCAGCACTAGCACTAGTACTAGTACTAGTACTAGTAGGCAGCAGCAGCAG